AATGAAAGAAGTAAGTTTGTTTGAAAAAAAAAAAAACTACTTGATCTTTGATTTGTCCCAAAGCAAAACTTTTTTACAACGGAGTGGTAAATAAAGGTTTTTTCCGAATTTGAGAGAAACCAACAAGACGAGGCTTTTGTGAGTCAGATCTCGAGATTCGATCGCCGGAATCTGTTAGTGGGAGGAAAATGGCGGCGAAGCAGATGGAAGAGATACAGAAGAAGCTTGCAGTGCTAAATTACCCTAGGGCCAATGCTCCCGCTCAGTCTCTCCTCTTCGCCGGCATGGAACGTTATGCTCTTCTCGAATGGCTCTTTTTCAAGTATCTCTCTCTCTCTCCCACTTTATCCCTTTGCTTATTCCAGAAAAAAAAATGCAAAGGAATTCTTCTCTCTGGATTTGAAGATGTATTGATTGAAACTCACATTTTGAATTTCGGATATGATCAAAGCTTCGAAACGTATTGTTGGTGTGGTTTTTCTTACAGTGTTTGATCAGTGTCCAATGTGGCAAAATTCGATAGCCTCGAGATTTAGGGTTTTTGTTTGCTAAAAAATGTGAAAAGCATGGATGGGAATTTACAAGGGGTTGACTCATTGTTCTTCTTTGTGTATCTTGAAGGTTATTAGGTGATAAGTCTCCTTTCTCACAGCAAAATCTTCAAGGAGATGCTGGTGTTCGTGATGAAGAAACTGTTCGAATTCAGTGTACGTGTTTTTATTTGATCTTTGTTGGCCTTTTCACAAAGTAATAACACCTTCTGATATGTTTCTGAAATCGGTTTAGCTGACCAAAAAACCGAGCGTCTCTTGCTACTGTTTTCCTCTTTGTATCGTTTCCGTTATCGATTGAGCTCCGTTAGATAGACAACAGTTCTTGCTTACATTGATATTGTGGTACTCCTGGAAGAGTTTGTCTAAGTGAATATTACACAGTGTGTCTATTACATTTGATGTGTTAGTGACTTCTCACTTTCAGATTTGGCAGAGATCGCAAAGTTCCTGGGGATTACACCAACTGTAGACATAGAAGCCATTCAAGTAAGCTTGCTTAAATTGTTAGACCATCGTTCTTCAATATTACTGTAATTCTGTGTGTTTGTCGAAGTCCAGGCATGGTTTGTCCATGTCTGTAATTTTCTTTTTGTTTGAAAAAATTACAAATCACTCAAGATGGAATAAGACTTATCCATTGTTTTAGGGACATGGAACCTATGAAGATCGGATGGAAATGCTTCGACATATTGTTGATTTGGTGGAGGCAAGCCTATTCCCAGATAATCCAGAATGGAGGTTGTTATGACACTTACACATATCTTCCCTTGATTGTATCATTAGTGTAGCATTTTGTAGTCTTCCATCTTCTTAATTCACATCTACATTATAGTTTGTTCCCTTCTTGAAGCATAACAATGATTTTGCTTCTTCTTCAGTATTGATGAGCAGGTTGCTAAAGATATTCAGCTCATAGATGCTATTGCAGAGAGACAGTCTCTGATATTTTCTGAGGAATGCAAACTGTTCCCTGCTGATGTGCAGATCCAGTCCATATATCCATTGTAAGAATTAGCTCCTCCTTTTATTTTCAAGTTATTTTTGTGGGTTATGGACTGCTTCAGATGAATTGAAGTTATCAACTTATTTTTCCAAACCAACATATGAAACTCTGCTCTGCTAATTGGTGTCACAATAGATGGTTAACAATGTGTTTAAATTTGCTTTGGATCTTCACTCATGTTTCCAAAACTATCCTTGACTTATGCAGATCTATCTGGTCTCAGAGATTCCATTTAAAATTAAGATTTAAATTACACGTGCAAACCTTAGTCCTTATATTCTCCTGGTTAACGGTTCAGTGGATGTAGTGACATTATGGTCCTTAATCAAAGTTTATTTACAGACCAGATGTATCAGAACTGGAGACAAAACTTTCAGAACAGGCCAAGATTCTCTCTAATCTTCAGCAGAAAGTCGATGACTTGGCAGCAAAGGTGTGTTTTGGTTGCCTCGTATTGAAAGTTATGTTCTGACTGTAAACTACATAACTCATTGGACCAATTTGCTGTTTTGTCAGAGTCAGAGTTATTCGTGTGTGGTGGTACATCTTTTATTATTTCACTCAACTTAGCACACATTTACCTCTAAACTGCAGATACCATATGCTTAACATATAGCTCCTATTGCTCTACATGAAAATGTTATAAATTAGCGTCTGGCTCTGATATAGACTTTAACTTCATAATCGACCTACTATGGAATTTGCATACTCAAATCCTACTACTTCATCAAGCATTGATTTGTTGGTAGGAGGCAACAGTCTTTTTCTTTTTGCCATTTCTTGTGTGTTTATTTAACTTTGTCCTTGGTTTTCTCCTTTTAGCATGCCTACAACCCTGATGAAGAATATACAGAAGTGGAATCTGAACTAAGGGCTCGATTAGAATCGTTTCTGGAAACTGCTAGGGCATTCAACACAATCTACACAAAGGTATAGTTTTGTGTTCTGTGTCATGATGTGAAATCTGCTTGGAGCTTCAATCAAACAAAAACTATTTTCCTCTATCATACTGCTTTCATGTTGCAAAACATCCCTCTTGAATATTTCTTATGATCTGATTAGCTTTTCCTGAAATTGGAAAATGAACCGTTTGATCCTTATTGGTATATTTGGATTTTGTAGGAAATCCGCCCATGGACACATATGATGGAAGTGCCTCAGCTTCATGGGTTTGGACCAGCTGCAAACCGTTTACTGGAAGCATATAATATGCTTTTAAAGGTACCCAAATTTCTCCTACTATCTTAATATTTGATTGTAATGAGTAAATTGAGCTCTCTCCGGATATAACGTCTGTTGATAACTATGTTAATGAACCAGACTGAGTCCAAAACAATTATTTCTTCATGCATAGTTTGATTATGGTAACATAATGAAATGAAACGAAATGAATTGTGTATTGTTTGGAGACAGTTCCTAGGTAATTTGAAGAACTTAAGAGACTCGCATGCAGCACTTTCGATTGGATCATCAGGAACAGTCGCTGGAGAGCCGTCTTCTGTGACCAGAATTGTATCAGAGTGTGAGGCTGCATTAACTGTTCTCAATCGTGACCTTGGAATCCTCTCGGCTTCCATTGCTCGTGAGCAAGGTCAGCGTCTATAATCTGTAAAGAATGATCACTTGAAATGGGCTGTGTTATTACATCAATCATTTCTCCATGAATGTGATGAGTTTATGAGTTTCATTGTTAGAAATCAATCTAGGAATGTTGTTTTTATCTCAAGAATTTGACTGAACTCGTTGTGTGTTGCCAAATATGTTTTAATCTAATCCCATCGAAAAGCAAATTTTCTGTGTCATTTCTATTAAGACACATTTAAGACTTTTATTATGGAATGGTATACGTGGGAACATGTTTGCTCCAAAGCAGAATGTTATTATTCTCAAGTTTTAAGGAGGTTAGCTTTTTGGTAATAGTCAAAATGGAAAAAACCTCAATTGAACAGAGCATTTGAAGAAACTCTTGATGAATAGGTGAAT